GGAAGGAAGGAAGGAAGGAAGGAAGGAAGGAAGGAAGGAAGGAAGGAAGGAAGGAAGGAAGGAAGGAAGGAAGGAGAGAGGGAGGGAGGCAAAGAAAGCAAAGGAGTAGGGAAGGAAAGAAAGCAAAAGAAGGAGGGAAGGAAAACAAAGGAAAGCAAAACAAGGAAATAAGCATTTATTAAGTGCTTACTGTAAGCATTTGGGATACTTACACAAGCTGAAAGAAAGACAGTACCTGCCCTCAAAGAGCTTACATTCTAATGTGGGAAAAAAATAAACAAAAAGAAGTTGAAAGGGGCAGAAGGTAAAGATAAAGGCACTATTCACCACGTGGTTTATAAGTCTGGAAGTCAGAAATAGGTCTGTAAGGGTAATGAAGGCTGGCCTGAGCCTCTCCACAAAATGGAAGCTCCAGGAGAAACTCACCAATGGGGGAAGGGTATAGACCTTGAAGACGGGATATTCCAGGTTGAGAAGACCACAGGGATGATTGGATGTTCCAGGGCAAAGAAGTCTCAGTGCCATGGGAAGTTCTAGGATAAGATAGTAGCATCAGCATGGTTTCCAATTCAGGAAGACCTAGGAGTAAAGGTAGATAGGTAGAGAGGAGAGAGAGACAGAGACAAACAGAGAGAGAGAGAGAGAGAGAGAGAGAGAGAGAGAGAGAGAGAGCATTGATAAAGTGCTTACCATGTTCCAGATTATGTGCTAAGTATTTGAGATGTAAATCCCACTCCCTCAAGGAGTTTACATTCTAATAAGGAAAGAAAATAGCTACAGAGGAGCTGGAAAGAGTAGGGTGACATGTGTGATGTGGAGATGGCCAGAAAGTGTCATGGAGGCGCAGGCAAAATGAGGTAAAATCTCCCTTATCAGAACCTGGCATCCCAGGGCAAAGTCTAAGGTTTTGGTTAGGGGTCAAAGGGAAGGATTGGGGTCACATAGAGTCAGACACAAATAAACAACCGAATAACAGCAAAAGAGAAGAGTGTCTGTCTTCTCTGAGCCTACGCTGAAGATGGTATTTGTTTCCACAAGTTATTTCCACTACTTTGCAATGAATAACAGTTAAGGAGGTTAGATACCCTAGAAGTAATAAGTGGGAAATATTTCCTTTAATGAATATAAATGAGTCAGTTCAGGGAAGTCTGTTTGCTTCCTGCCTTCCACAGCAGGCTAAGAGGGTGTCCATAAAGCCCAGTTTAAAACTCTGACTTTGTACTTATTACAGGTGATTAAGGAACCACCCCCACCTCCACCCCCACCAGCGGTAAGTATTATTAACCCTAACTTTAGCAGTACCCAGCATTTAGCCTACCGGAAAAGTGACTACCTTCACTTTGTACTTCTGGACAAAGGGACAAGTTAGTCTTGGAAGGGATAGAAGGGAAAGGTCAACAGTCGGGGACTTTGATGACATTTAGAATTGAACAAGACTATGCCAACACTTCCCGTCTGCCTCCCAAACCAAACCAATCCCTGTGTCTTTCCCATCAAATTGCTAATTCTTGGGTGGCCTATGTTAGACAACTTCTAACTGCCTACTGAATTAAATAAGGACTTTGAAAGTTCAAAAAGCGATGTCCTGCTGTTGGAATGACTACACACAGTTGCCCCAAGAACATCACTGTGAATGAGGGTTCCTGTCCCTCACTCTCATAGCTAATCAATGACTTCATTGAGTGGGCTCCCTGTCTCCCTTGTTCTGCTCCAAGGCAGTAGCCTGCCTCATGCACAATTCATTCCCACGGTGTGGCCGTCTGTGCCCTCCCAAGCAAACTGTGTTCATGAATCTTTTATACAGAGCTGATATAAATAAAGGTGGCCTGGAGAGAAGAAGAGGGGACACCATGATGCTTACAGGCTTCTCAGGGAACAGCCACAGCTGTGAAAACAATAGGGTTTTATTTGCCATTAGCATGTAAATACACCCTGCTGAGGCCAACCAATCTGGAGACACTACAGGACTGGGCATCATCCAAGACAGTTTGTATCACCTGGCAAGCCCCTGACAAGTATATAGATACTATATGCCTTCCTAGGACTCCAGTTTATCCTGTGTATATCTTGTCTGTATATCACTGTTTGTATGCTGTCTCTCCCCCATTAGACTGTGAGCTCCTTGCGAGCAGGGACTGTCTTTTTACCTCTATTTGTATCCCCAGGGCATAGCACAGTCCCTGGCACTTGGTAGGCACCTAATAAATGCTTGATGACTTGACTTGACTAGGACTCAGATGAAGAAGATGGAATGCCCAAGAAAAAGTGGCCAACAGTGGATGCCTCTTATTATGGTGGCCGAGGAGTTGGAGGCATTAAAAGAATGGAGGTAAGATGTAAGACATCTCCAAAGGTCTCATGATGGAAAATGCTATCCACATCCAAAGAAAGAACTATGGAGTTTGAATGCAGATCGAAGCATAATATTTGCTATTTTTTTTTCTTCTGTTGTGTTTTATTTCCTCTTTCTGGTGGTTCCTCCTATTGGTTCTAATTCTTACTTACAATATCACTAATGTGAAAATATGTTTAATAGGAATGTATATTATAGCGTGCCATTTTGGGGAGGGAGGTGGTGAGGGAGGAGGAGAAAAATTTAAAACTCAAAAGCTTATGGAAGTGGTTGTTGATAAACCAAAAAAAATTAATAAATAAAAAAGAAGAAGAGTTTACTCCCTGTTCAATAACCATAACTGACCTTGACCAGGGGAGATGAAAGCCAGAACTCATATGAAAGAGATAAGATTTATCTTGTTCACTGCTTTTATTCATTAGATGTACTGGGTCCTTGTTGTCACTATTTGGGGACTGAGGAGTAGAACAAATTTTTAGGATACTCTGTATTTTTAACTTGTGGTGTCAGAAAGATAGCCAAGGACCTAGTTTTCAGCCTTACCCATGTTCAACCAGAGCTTTCAGTGATCTTTCAGTGACTTCTGGGAAGTCAGTAGGACCTCTAGCAGACTGCCTGGAATTTCTGAAAGTTGGGGGCTGGGTCACATCTATTAAATTCCTAGACCTTCCTCGTGAGAAAGATTATAAAGATGATGTCATCAGGTTAGGGAATGTCTTGGATTTCAAACCACTTGACCAACGCGTTGACAAATAAGGAAATACTGAGTCACAGACACGCCAGGCCTGTCCTCACTCAGACTGAAAAATGGAAAGGAAAAATCCCAAGTCTATCTGATCCATTTGAAAACCGATTTGGCAAAATTCAAAGAACTCAAACAAGTAGTTCCTCAAGTTTCCAGTCAAAGGGGGTGGGGAGGAGAAGGCCCAGAAGATTGTGAACAACCATGTGAAAGAGAACTTAAGCTGGCAACATTTTCAGACGTGTTTTTTTTTTCCTTTTTTTTTTCTGGTCTTTGTGCTCAGGTGAGATGGGGAGACAAAGGTTCAACAGAGGAAGGGGCCAAACTGGAAAAGCCCAAAAATGCTGTCATCAAATTACCAGAGCAAGAATTTGAGCCGTGGGAGCCTAAACCAAAGAAACACAGCAGGAAAGAGCTTCCTTCACAGAGAAAATGGTACACTCCCATCAAGGTGAGACATGGGTTAGGTGCATGATTATGGCAGGGAGACTGAGGTACAGATGGTATTCCCTGGACTCTCCATTTACAGGGCTCATAGGATTTGGAGCTGGAGGAGGCCTGAGAGGTCATGTCACCCAAGCATTTAATTTTACAGATGAGGAAATTGAGAGTCAGAGGGGTCACACAGGTCCAACAGTTTACAAACTTGATCATGGATCACAGCTTTACAAACAAAAAAGACATTGGGGTCATCTAGTCCAAGACCTTCATTTTACAGATGAGGAGTCTGAGGCCTAAAAAGATTAAATTATTTTACCAAGTCATATAATAAAAGATAAAGGTAGGACTCAAACTTCTGACTTCAGAACCAATGATCTTTCCTTTATACCATCCCATGTCCATTGTGAACTGGATGGCTGTAGTTTATGGTTCTCTCATTAGCTTGTCATTAATAGACTCAAGACCCGACTAGGCTAACTTGTTTTTCCCCAGCCATAAAAACAACAGCAACTTTGTCTTTGGTCCAAGACTGTGTCTTCCCCAGTAGATCAGTCACTTGCAGCTGAAGAATCGTATCAAATGCCTTCCTATTGAGATTCAGATGGATGCCAATTCTAAATTTAAAATATTTATTGTGTATTGACTGTGGACTGACTATACTGACTATGTACTGACTGTATGGACTCTGCTAAGTAGTAGTGACATAAAGTCCTTTCCTTCAAGGAGCTCACAAGCCGGAAGAAGAATTTACAGTCTCTTGTGTGTTCACAATACATAGGAGCAAAGTCATTCAGAAGACCAGAGAATTAACACCAAAGAATGGGCATGCTCACCATCAGCTCCTGTACCTCATACCCCAGCTGTGGATGAATGAATGAAAAGAGAAACTGAGCTCTCTTGGGTCAGATACTATGCTAAGTGCTGAGGTTACATAGACAAAAACAAGATAGGCTTGCCCTCAAGGAGTTTACATTCTAAATGGGGAGAGACAATCTGTATAGAGGAATGGTGGCCAGCAAATGGTGTTTTGGTATGGGAAGGCACAGGGATGATGAAAACCAGAGATGCCTCACTCCCAAAGTATACAGCTGTGGTTGTAGGGCTGCTGCATATCTCTGTGTGTAGAGAAAGGAGATATTTTCTTCTGCATCAAGTAGATGAAAGAAACATGAAGGTCACCCATCCCCACCTATAGAAGACAATGTAGTTTTTATTCCAAAAAGTACTATGGTCTATCCCAAAGGTCTGTGGTATAACTGGGGGAGGAAAAACAACAAAGTGACTAGTATTTATTTAGTGCTTACTATGAGCCAGGCACTGTGCTGAGTGAGCACTGAGGATACAGATAGAAAAATGAAGCTAGTCCCTGCCCTCAAGAAACTTACATTCTGATGGGGTAAGACAACACACAAAGGGAGAACTAAAAGGAGTAGGGAGGTTTTGAGAAGGGAATATGCCCATGAAAATGTACAGTGACAAAGTCCAGACAGTCAACGGCACAGCTCTGAGGGGAATGAAGCATGACTGGCCTGGTCCCATCCCCAAAATGGAGGAGGCACCAGAAGAAACTCACCAATGTGAGAAGGTGGTCCACATGGTAGAGGTATGTTCCTGAGTAAGAAGGTCTCAGGACAGAATCTTGCAATGAAATAATAGCTTTGCCAACTCCACTAGGATAGATGCTTTCTTGACTTGACTTGGCCTCCAGTAAAGTAAACAGTGCTGTCCTGAGGAGAGAGCAGAAGCAGCAATATCCCAAAGTCTCATCATGTGGATCAGCACAGGGTGTTTAAGAGTTGGGAGTAATCAGAGTTTGATTCCGTTTGCCTCCCAAACAGCTGTACCCAGTTCAAGCTGAATATGCCTTTATCTTCACTTCCCAACTCTCTTGCATTTGGGCACCTCAGTCAATCAGAGGGACTATTTGGGAGGGACCTAACCCCATTTCGGTCTATACAGTGCTTGATTTGACATCAGAAGACCTAAGTTTTAATCCTATCCCTATCATTCACCATTTATGTGACTTTGAGCCTCAGTTTGCTCATCTGAAAATGAAGGCATTAGAGAAGAAGGCCACAGATGTTACTTCCCCTGAGAGTCATTGATCTTATTTTAAATTATCACTTCCTTTCCCCTCATGACCTATAGTCTTTAATCTTTCCATTCTCTCTAGGATCTCAAGCTCTCCATTTCCTTCATTGGCACCCCTTTTCTCTAAAGAATTTTTTCTCCCTCATCACCAGCCTTGACTTTAAATCCTGATCCTGATCCCAAGTTCCCCCCACAACTATATCTCATCTGAAATGAGTCATGGTCTTTGGAGGACGAGTATTGGTTTAGGAGATAATTCTTAATTTGTAAACCTGATCAGTGCCACACAGAAGAATTACCTAAGTCATGATTTTAAATGGTCAAATGCTGAAAAGTAACAGAATGTGGCTTTTTTTTAGGGCAAACTGGATGCTTTGTGGGCATTGGTTCGACAAGGGTATGACCAAGTATCACTTATGAGACCCCAGCCAGGAGACAAGGTAAGATATCACAAGTGTGATCTTGTGGCACTTTTGTGGTCAGCAGTGTCCTTTTCTTATTCCTTTAAGAATCTTTCATGGCAGCTAGATGGCAAAGTAGGTAGAGCACCGGCCCTGGAGTCAGGAGAACCTGAGTTCAAATCCAGCTTGTATGATCCTGGGTATGTCACCTAACCCCAATTGCCTATCCAAAAAAAAAAAAAAAAAAAAAGAATCTTTCTGCATTGGCCTAGGAAAAGCAAAATAGAAGATTTTTAATGGAAAGCTACAATAACAAGGTCTTTGGTTCAAAATCATCCCAATATTGGTATCCTGTAACCACTGCTGTTAGCGGCATGAATTCTGTTACTTGCAGTATAGCTGAAAGATATTAATCCAATTCAAACCTTTATTAAGCACCAGTTATGCACTGTGCAGCTAGGTGGTACAATAGATAGAGCTGCAGGCCTGGAGTCAGGGAGATCTGAGTTCAAATGTGACCTCAGACACTTATTAACTGTGTGACCCTTGGGCAAGTCAGTTAACCCCTATTTGCCTCAGTTTCTCAACTATAAACTGGGGACACACTGAAGAAGGAAATAGCTAAACACTTCAGTAGCTTTGCCAAGAAAACCCTGTGAACAAGTTCATGGGGTCACGAAGAGTTAGGCATGACTAAATAACAAACGCACCATGCACTAGCCTAGGCATTGAGAATACAAAGGAACAAAAAATTCTGCCCTCATTGAGTTGAAATTCTACTGTGGGAAAACAACATTTATAAATTCGTTGTTGTTATTGTTCCAGTTGTGTCCAGTTCTTTGTGACCCCATTTTGGGGTTTTCTTGGCAGAGATACCGGAGTAGTTGGCCATTTCCTTCTCCAGCTCATTTTACAGATGAGGAAACTGAGGCAAGCAGGATTAAGTGACTTGCCCAGGGTCACACAGCTAGTAAGTGTCTGACACCAGATTTGAACTCATGAAAATGAGTCTTCCTGATTTTAAGCCCAGTGCTCTATCCACTGTGACACTTAGCTGCTACTTGTTTACAAATAGGCAAATACAAAATAAACCCAAGTTTGTCACAGGGGGTAGGGTTTGCTGGGACTGAAGCAATAAGACTTGTAAGAATTAGGAAAGGGTTCTTGGGAAGGTGACATTTCCGCTCAGCCTTAGAGGTAGATTGGGTTCAAAGGAGTAAAGGTGAAGAGGGAAAACATTCCAGGCACGGAAACAGCTAATACAAAGACACAGACATGACACACCTCATGTGTGGACCACAATTGATGGGTCAGTTCTGATGTAATATGGAATGCATTATGGGAAGTCATGTGTCGGAATGTAGAGTACATTATGGGAGTCATGCGTGATCAGCCTAGAAAGATAAACTCCAACCAGATTGTGAAGAGTTTTTAATACCAAACAAAGGAACTTATATTTCACCTAGAAGCAAAAGGGTGCCACTGAAGCTTCTTAATCAGAGTGTGACATGGTCCTACTTACCCTTGAAGTGTCAGCTTGATAGCTGTCATGGATTGGAGAAAGAAGAGACTAGAAGCAGGAAGACCAGTTGTGAAGCTACCCTCCAGATGGGGGACAATGGCCTGAATTATGGCGGTTATATTAAGAGCAGAGAGGTGATAAATGCATGAACTCTTGTTGAGATGAAAATCAACAAGATTTGACAAATGATGGGATGTGGGTGGTGACAGAGAATGAAGAATAGAGGACAATTCCTGGGTGACCAGAAGAATGGTGATACCCACCACAGAAATAGGAAGTATGGAGGATAGAGTGGGTTTAAGGAGAAAGAGAATGAGTTCTGTTTTGGACGTGTTCAGTTTCAGATGCCTATGGGATTTCCAAGTGGAGGCAGTTAAAGATGTGGGACCAAAACTCATTCATCTATGAAGTCCAAAATTGACTTCAATAGGATGGGAAATTTAACATTTCCTATTTAAACATTTCATTAACATCAAAATCAGCCTAATGAGCACTCAGAATCATTACCTTGAGGATGATCATGAAATTTATTTTATGTATTATATTTACAGAGTTAATTACAGTTACTCAGTTTTCACTTCTGAAAGATACCAGTTATAAGGATCTTTCACCAATAAATAATGATGAGTTCCTTCCTTTTAGGTTTTGATGTCTTAGATGGTGGTCATTATGTTAGAATTCATGTATGCTATTACTTCCCAAGGCAAGTACACATCCCTCCAATGCTAGCATGCCATAGTATGGCTGGTCTAAAGAATTATATCCTGTAGGAAAGCTAAAATGCAAGCCAATCATTCCTCACTTCCCTTAATTAGCTTGTCATGAATCTAAAGGAAGTTGAGTGAGCCAGCAGCACCTTTCTTTGGAACGTAATTTGATCTCTTTGTTCCATTATCTCCTGATAATTCTGGAGTAAGATCAAATCTCTGCGACATGCTCCTTGCTAAACATTATGAATTCTGATATGAAATCCCGAGATGGGAATTTATCATCAGATGACTACCACAACCTGAAATGAACTTCTTAAAATAACAAGCCTTGTAGTTGGAAGGAAGAACAGCTGAGAGTATGAAGCATATGGGAGATGCTTAATGAATATTGGTTGAATTGAATTAAAGGTACCAGGCAAAGTTTCTCCTTTTAGGTAGATCTCTCAGTATTGGATATATTTCATTGTTATCAGACCATTTGAAAAAAGCTAGGTATGCATCTACTCTGGCAGAATTTATCATATTGATTTGAATAGAGGGAAAGCTTAATAGTTAAATCGGAACATTATGAAATCTGAGTACTGCTTATAACCAGTGTTATTTTTCAATATATATGCATTTATGCATACATTTTTTCTTTTAATAAAGCAGACTATATTCAGTCTATGGATCAATATATCAGTTGCTGCTCTGCCTAGTGAGAGATAACTGGATTAATTGAACACACGAGGTTACTTCTGTCCTGATTCTATGATAAAGCCTCTAATTTCCTCTGGTCCCTTTTTCCTAAAAATTAGCAAAGCTAATGATAAATCACATATATTCTATGTAGTATCTAGGAGGGTGAGTAAGAGTTTGGAGCCTGCATGGGATATAGCAAAAGTTTCCATGTCATTCCAGTTCAGAAATTGAAAGGTGAACACCACTGGTACCAGTCTTTTTGGTGGTTTCCCTGAATGGGGATTCCTTGGGCAGCTGGGCTTCAAGCTTCATATTGACTTTTTAGATCTGCCTCTGGGTCTTTGAATGGGCCTTTTAGACCCAGCTGTATTTTGATAGAAGTTACATTATAGGATCTGATTTCATCCCATGCCTTTCCCTGGCGCTGCTGGTAGATTTCTGTCACCCACGACACAATGCCACCACTGTGGTCGAGGCAGCCCTGAAACATTTCCAAACAAGGATACTCAGTTACTCACATGTAAAGTGCTCCCGGGTGGTAAAGGGAAAGACAAAAAAAGAACAAGACTGAGGTTAATTAAAACAGGGCAAGCCAAGTAGAGGGCAAAGTCAACGAATCAAATGTTCATCAAGGCAAGAGGACAGAAAAGGTCTTATTGTCAAGCAGTATTAGAAGCCAGCCCTCCTTTGTAGCCAACAAAATTAGCTTGAGTTGGCAAAGGTTGAAAAGGAAGCAATAAATGATCCCAAATCATTCTATTTTCCCAAAAGTAATTATTTGAAGCTGAGATTACAAAGAGGGAAATTATATGGGCCAATGCATAGGACCTTGGATTGGGAATCAATGATGCTGATTTCTGTGCTCTACCACTAATATGTTTTGTGGTATCAATCATCACTTAGACCTTTGAGTCTCAGCTAATCCATTCCAAATTAGCAGATGGACAAATGGAAACATTTATTCAAACACTTTGAGCTCTTTGGAAAAAAGTTGTTTGGGCTTATAGGCCCAAGATTATTATTATGATATGTGGATTTTAGAGGCAGCTTGGAGTAGTGGATAGAATGGCAGCTTCAGAGTTGGGAAGATAGAACCCCAGAACCCCAGAAGACCTGGGTTCAAGTATTGCCTCTGACACATACTGGCTGTCTGACTCTAGTAAGCCACTTAATCTCTCAATGCCCCAGGCAATTCTACAATAATAATAATAATAATAATGACAATAAAGATGATGATGATGATGATGATGATGAATGATAGTGATATGGACTAGACCTGTGATTTCACTTATATAGGGAACTCCTGGTGAGGAAACTTCCTCTATCAAGGAAAGTCAGCACTTTCTAAGCAATTTACAATCTTAGAAAGTTGCCTTAGAAACTGAGTTGTGACTTATCCAGAGTCACAGAGCCATTTTATGTCAGGAAGAGGACTTACACCCAAGTCTTCCTGGATCCAGATTCAACTCTCTATCCTAGCATGCCATAATAGCCTTTCGATCATAATAATAACAATAATAGCCAACATTTATATAACACTTTGAGATTTGCCAAGAACTTTTAAAAATTTTTTTTATTTTTAATTTATGGAATAATACAAGCATTTCTATAACATAGCACAATAAAAAAAGATGATTGCACATGAAACTGAAAATCTACTATGTACAATTTGCTATTACTTTTAAATGTACAACAAAGTTATCATGTAAATTTCTTTTTCTCCCTCTTTTTCTTCTCTTCCCCCACCCTAGAGATGGTCACTGTTAGACAAAAATAAGTTTATATATGTAAAATTATTCTATACATACTTCACTTTATCAGTTCTTTCTCTGGATGCAGATAGTGTCTTTCTTCATATGCCTTGCATAGTTAACTTAGGCATTTCCAATAGTCGAAATAACTTATTCGCTCAGTCGTTCTTAAAACAATATTGTTCTCAAATCCAGCCTCAGACACTTGACACTTACTAGCTGTGTGACCCTGGGCAAGTCACTTAACCCCAACTGCCTCACCAAAAGAAAAAAAATAATATTGCTCTTACTGTATACAATGTTCTCTTGGTTTTGCTAATTTTGCTCTTCATTGTTTCATGCAAGTCTTTCCATGTTTTTCTAAAATCATTGAGC